TGCTGCTTTCGGGCACCCTTGTTTTCATCATCAAAACCACTATTCAAGCTTGGCTTCTCTTCCACTAAACGGTGCATATAATAGATCTCTGGGAATTCAGGTGCATGCGATGATCCATAAACCTAATAATTCTCACATCTCTTATGGACGCCATAGTTGGTCAAGGCCTCCTATAGACCAACAACCGGCGATAGGGAAGTTTTCGACGGAGAATTCGACGTCTCGGGCAAGTGCCGGTCGGTTCAACGTAATGAGGACGATGATGGGCGGTTCTCCTGGTGATGAAATGATGGGGAATTGTTGGTGGTCGGGTGGCGCTAGTCTGCATACTAAGCAGGAAGATCAGATACACAAGGTTGACCTATCCCTCAAGCTCTAAACGAGTGTTGTGTATTTTAATTAAGAACATATAAAATATTATTCATATTTTCTGATTAAGAATTTCGTTTTCATCTTAATTTGTCTGGGAAGTAATTGTTATGCATACTTTGATGATTATAGAGAAGTAATTTGTCTCCCCAGTTAGGCGTTCTTCAAATTGACAGATAATTTTTTTCTTTTACTTTTATTATTAAAAAATATGATTTAGTTCAATTTTGTTGTATTTATGTATATAGAATCGAATGGTTATTTGACAGCTTTTATTTTTCATTTTTTTTCGTGTGAAATAATTTAGGTTTATTATAAAAAAAAATATTAATTATTTAATTTATAATTATAAGAATCTAGTAATTATATTTTCATTTATGTTTAATATTAATTAACTTTGGTTAAAATTACGGATGTCTATACGTAAACTTGAATATGTAACGTATCCAAGTAACTTAGTTTTTGTAGTACACGGAGACGAAGTCACTTTCACTAATCGATTGCCCAATCTAAACAAGATCTACTTTAGTACATATGTATTTATTTAATATTTTATTATCTCGTAATACTTTTTTATTGGTCAAAACTAATATTAATCGATGATATATTAAGGACCCCTTCTATCTCTCACCACGTTTTCCTGTTTCGTCTATTTAAATTATGTTTTATGGATTTGATGTTTTTTGTTTTACTTTATTTAATAATTTTTTATTTCTTTTACAAACATAGTAGATAATTTATATATTATTGTAACACATTTTTTAAGGATTACTGTTTCACTAATCTAATTATTTTATTAATTTATTTTTACTTTAATTTTTTTGGTTTGTTCACTCATTGTAAAAACAGGCTCGGGTTATGATAAATTAAATTATCAATGTATAGTCATATCTTATCAATATATTAGTGTCCATAACTTTTATTTTTTATTATTGAAAAAGATGTTTATTTTTATTTTTTATTCTTTTATGCTATTTATTTTAATATTTACTTTAACTATTTTATAATTTTATTTTATAATATTATAGACTTATTATTATATATTTATTATTTAATAAAATTAGTTATAAATATTTTTTTAAAAATATATATTTTATTATCCCCTTTTTGGAATAATTGAAGTGACCTGGAAGTTTAGAACTTGTATTGGGCCAACCTATTTCTGGTTTATTTAAAGATTGGGCCGAAAAGCATTTAAGAAAATATACACTTGAAAGACAATGTTTTTCTTCTTTATAAAATTGTTAATAGTACGCCGGTTCAGTCAGCGATAATGATTCATACGAATTTAAAGTTCAAATGTGATACGGAAAACATAAACTTCTTATCATTTCAAAGTAATATAATATATATATACACGTACTTCAAAAAAAATTGTGACAGCCAATAGCAGAGTTTGTTCAGGTTGCCAACAGCTTCTGAGTGACCATCATTTCAGCAACAAGCATGCTTCTGAGTCGCCTTCGGGCTGGTATGCATTTGATTTCTGAGGCAGCCACCGGCGGATCTAGCTTGTTCTTAAAAAAAATTATTATTAATTTATTAATTATATTAACCTAAAATTTTATTTTTGTTTATTTTATATAAAAAATTAACTAATATATATATATATATCAATTACTAAAAATATTTATGAATCCGTTATAAACAGCGTCGATTCTACTAGAATGTAATGATATTCTCTTACCCTATCAAAATTATCAATTATTAATTTTTTATTAAACTTTCTAAATTTAATTTATTATTATTAATTTGAAAGACTATTCAAATAAACTCATTTATTTACATTAAGGGTGTGCAAATTTAAATATTGGAAAATTTTGTACACTTAAAATAGTGATTCATATCCGATTCGGAAAAATAGGATATCCAAATTTTCGAATATCTGAATATTTGGATCCGAATATAAAATTTAATTTAACAAAAAATAATTTTATATTTTGTGACTTAATGTAACTTATTTGATATATCTACTAAATAGGGGTGGCAAACGGGCGGGTGGGTATTCATTCTCACATCCCTATACCAACATAATATTTTCGTATCCATCATCTACCCACCATACATGACGAATAAAATTTTTAAATATACACCCACCCACGCATGTATATTCTCAAATTCACCTGCACACCTACTACATATTTCGTACATGCCTGGTAACAATCTCATAGATTACAAAAATGTTTATATACTAACATTTGGTAAAAATATAAGTCATGTCATATAAAATCTTAAGATTTACAGAATAGACTCTAAAATTATACGTAAATTTATAATGATCCAAAATTTATATGGTGGATAGTTAGTGGGTGGACGGATGTGGGGCAAGCGGATACAGAGCAGGTAGTGCCCTAAACCATCACATACCCACTACCCACGATGGGTATGACTTTGTACGTCCATACTCACTCGCTAATCATTAAACTTATACCCATCTCTACCACAATTGGAGTGTGTGCGATGCAAAATCCAAAAAATTGTACCGTCTGTCATCCTTATCTACTATATATATATAGGGGATAAGAACTTGTTACACAATGTAACACTCTTTTAGTTTTACACAGATGAATGAAAATAGATGGATGAGATTAATAGTATGAATGAGAAGATATTCACTATAAAAAACAATGAGTCAATCTCAACCATCTATTTCCACTTATCCGACGGTCTTAAATATGTGTAAAACAAAAGAGTTTTACATTGTGTAAGCAGACCCTAACCCTATATATATAATTGCTCACACACAATAAATAATTAAATATCTTAATTTTTAATTGAACTTGATCTTTAATGGTTTAATGAGTTACTCATTTATTGGGCTAAAGACTATCTAAAATCCCAATTCTTTTTCGAATTTGTTGATAATCTAAAATTGAAATTTATCTATTATGTATATGATATGATTATTCGCATTATTTTAAAAATAAAAAAAAAACAAATTGAATATTATAATTTTCGGATTGGATCGAGGGTCATATCTTTTTGCATACCCCTAATTTATGTAGCAGATCACACGAGTTATTTCTCCAAACATTTATGTCATTATAGGTCTATCACATAAGCAAAAAAAGGCTTCTTTAAGGAATAGCCTTTCGAAAGGTATTATCACGTAACACATCTTCATGTGAGAGAAATAAGTGTCAATTTAACCATTAAATTTTTTTAAGTGCTATTTTAATTAAAAAGATTAAAAATGTATTGTTTTAATAGTTTAGCCCTAAAGATGATAAAAAATAAATTTGACGACGAGAAATATAATAAATAATCGATCGCTTGATTTGTGTCTACAATTATTTGTTTCTCTCTGTCTCCATCGCAGTTGCAGCTCTGTGATTGTAGTTAGTTATCACTTAACATCATCACTTGTCACTCCACTGGACCATTATCACTCTTTTACCACCTTCTTCCCACTCCTCCATCTCTTAATCATATAATTCTTTCATGTAAATTTAATCAGTCTTGATAATATTACTTCAAAATTTTGAAGATATCAAATTAATTATTTTAAAAGGAAGCAAGGCTCCTTCTAACATCATAACCATTTGTCTATGTTAATCAAAATTATTTCGATCTTCATTTGAATTTTTTTTTTAAAAAAATTGTTTGAATTTCATCTCTAAAGTGATATATTCAAACATTAAATCAGAGTGAAACTAAAAATATATTTTGAAGGGTCGGAAATTTAATTGTGATTTTAGGAGGTTCAAAATATAATTTTAATATTATTAATTTATAATGAACGATATTTTATATATTTATCTTGAAAATGTGGAAAAATCCCTCTCACGAAAAGGAGGAAGAAAATGGATATAAATGGCAACATTGGACCATGCAAAATTACTTAAAACTTGAAGCCCACGTGTCCTCCGACTTCCAAGCCTGTCGCCAGTGCCATATGCACGACACAAAAGGACCGTTGAAAAGCGGACGATGTAAAATTCCATTCCTAAGTTCCACAGTTTTGGATTTTCTTTCACATCCGACTTTCAAAATTATTTATTCAAAAGAATTAAAAACTAAAATTTTAGATTATTAATTAATTCAACGAAATGGAGTATTAATTTCTTTAAATAATTTTAAAGTGTTAATTTATTTGTAATATTTTATTTAAATTAATCCACTAATGGTTGAATGTCAATGATTAAATAAAAACAATGTTTAATAAATTAGTGATTATATAAAATAATTTATGAATATAGCTATTTGAATTATCTAAAGATCATATAATATTTTCTTTAGAAACACCATTTTACAACATAAAAATCTGCACGTCAATGTTAATCAGTTAAAAAAAACGATGTTTTAAAGAAAAATAACATCAATATTTAAATTAAAATAGATTACAGAGTTACAATTTTGAACTCATTAAATTGTGTTAAACTAAAAAAAACAATAGTATAAATATAAACAAAATAAAAGGACCAAAACAACAATTTAGCCCAGTAGTTCCGTTTGCACGGCTTTTATAAAGAAGTGTAGAACGGCAGTTGGAGTAATTACGGGAAACTGTCGCGACCCATCAGCTACTTTCCTTGAGTTTTAAGCTAATCACAATTAATAATAAAAAATTTATTTATCAATAATTAATGTAATAAAAGAAATTAAAAAAGAAATCGTCAGCAGTATTCTTAAAAGCAAATTAAGCTGACGTTGCGGCACCTTTCGGCTATTTCTCGGTACAACCCAAGCTATAGATTCTTCCTTCTATTAAAATACAAACCTTTTTTCCAACTGGGAAAAAGAAGAAGAATATTACCTCAGATTTCCCAGTTTACCCCTACAGTTTCTCTTAATTCTCGCTTACGTCCATGCTCTGGTTGCCCGGTTATCTTTCTTTTTTGTATTAGCGATCTGGGTATTTCAAAAAAAGTTGTAAAAAAATGCTTTGTACAATGGTGTTGATGCCACGGAAGAAGAAAGTCGGGTCTGTTCCGGTTTACTTGAATGTATATGACTTGACTCCAATTAATGGATACGCTTATTGGTTTGGCCTTGGGATATATCATTCTGGGGTTCAGGGTAAGTTTTCATTTTCTGCCCTTTCAATTTGGTAAAGTTTCCTCTTTTTGGGTGTTTCGTTGAAAGTAATGGAAAAAGAAAGAGAAAGTGAGAAAAGGGTTGCCGTTTGATTTTCCTTTTAATTAGTGGTTCTGACCGTTTGGTTGATGAGAAAATTTTCGCTCTAACTGTTGGGTACTGAACATAATTTAAGTTATTTGAAAGAATGGATTTTGATGGATATTAGCATTTACATGACATTCATGAATTCAGTGATTTTATTTATAGTTTGACTCTTGAAATTTTATAAGTTCGATTTTCCTAAAATTTTAAAAGTTATCCATCCTAGCACTATATCCTGCATTCCTCTCGATGTAGCATTTTGAATTTGGTTGATTCTTTGCTATGCAGTTCATGGAGTTGAATACGGTTTTGGAGCGCATGAGCATACAACAACCGGGATTTTTGAAGTGGAACCGAGGCAGTGTCCAGGTTTCACATTTAGGAAATCCATCTTGATCGGGAGGACTGATTTAGGTCCGAAGGACGTCCGATCGTTTATGGAGAAACTCGCTAAAGAGTACTCGGGGAATTCGTACCATCTCATCACCAAGAACTGCAACCATTTTTGCAACGATGTGTGTGTTCAGTTGACATCGAAGCCGATTCCGCGTTGGGTTAATCGTCTTGCTAGATTGGGTAAGATATCAACCATCTCCTGCCTCATTATATTATTTCCTCTGATAGATTATTTATTGAGAAGATTGATACATACATAAAAGTGAAAGTGATGCAGCATTTTGTATTTTCCTTCTCTGGCAATTATTCTAATTTTGTTATTTGCATCTTGTCGTGGTAACTTCTAAAACTGTTCACCGATAAGTAACTGGTTACGTGTTAATGATAAACAATCAAGAACCAAAAGAATGATTGTCTTTTGCTTTAAAGAAGTTTTCTCAATATCGACTGACGAAACTATTATAGTTCAATCTTTGTTGAACGTTGCTCTTGTCCTGCTGCATGACAACACTTATATTAGCCGAGGTGTTATATACCATATCCATGCCGGACATTTAACGTACGGTGAGAACTCACTAGGGTAACTTGGATGTCTGTTCGTCTCCAGTAGGATTCGGACATGGGTTGAATCCTGCTATACCTTTTGAAGTAGTTTGTTAACATTATTTCTAGTTTCTATATACAACTATTGATGATTTTGGTTGTGGTGAATGTATAGGTTTCCTTTGCAACTGTGTTCTTCCGGCAGGGTTAAACGAGACAAAAGTTCGCCAAGTTAGATCCAAGAGTAAGGATCAAGAGGTCGAGAAGAAGAAGCTTAGTGGCCATTCAAGTAGATATAGGTCTTCCACTAACCCTCTACCCAACTCCACAACGTCCGGGTCCGGTAGACAAAAGCTACGTCTTCGATCATCATCATCATCGTCTTTGATTCACAGTTCTTCAGCCTCAAGTTTGAGATTGAAGGTTTAAAAAAAGTCAGTCACCATGGTAGTGCCTTTAAGGGTTCACAAAATTCGAAATCGTTTGTCGTCCGCCCTCCCCGGTTTCAACTTGGTTTAGCTTGTCTTTCATTGTGGGGCTAACTCTTATTCAGTTGAATTGAAAGGAGGTATGTGTATTTGGTCCCTACTATTTTGGCAAATGATGCGTGTAAATGCATGTCAAAAGCGTGTTTGTGGAACTGGTAAATGTTTGGTAATAGAGAAGCATGTGGCCCGTGAAAGAGTGTGCGGGTAAGGTTCTAATGTGAATGATTATGGCCCCACCTGTACTGCTCAGTTTATTATCATCAATCCCATTCCGACTGTTCCACTCTCACCCCTATTCAAACTCCAATTTTGTTCGTTATTCGTGTTAAATTTGAATACTGTTTTTGAATTAATTAAATTTAATAATTTCGAAGAAAAATAAAATGGATAAAGGATTTAGATATCTAAATCTAATTCTTTTTTATTTGTAAAATCTGCATTGGTTGTTGAATCGAATTTATTTGTTTAATATTAATTTAAAAAATAGTAAAAACTCATAAAAGACTTTTACTTGATTCAACAATGAGGGCAGAGTCACGGGGTCAATCAGTCAACCCTGACAAAGCTTAAGGTAAGCGAGCGTAGAAGCAAGCTAGTTTCGGTTCAGAATTCCAGGACAGGGTCTTAGAGGCGAGATTAGTGTGCCTTTAGTTTACCACTAGATCAACTGTCAGATTTGGTATACGGTTATAATACAAGTAAAGAAAAAACATTTTAGTCTTAAGGAATTAAGGTAAGCGAGCATCGAAGCAAGCAACTTTTTGTTTCAAAAACTACACAATTAGTCATTAATGTTTTGAGTAAATTTTTGTTTTCTCTACTGAAGTTTCAAAAGTTACAAATCGGTCACTAACATTATCGATTGGTTACAAATTGATCACTCGGCATTAACATCCGTTAACACGCATGATGGAAAACACAGCTGGCGCGATAACTACTTACATGAACTTTTGACTGCCACGTTGGAATATCATTGGAATCCCTTTGACCGAAGCTTGGACTAATATGTAATTACTAATTAATTAATTAATTAATAAAAGGGGGAGAATCAAGGGTTTCATTTACCATTCAGAACCCTTCTACTTCTCCCATAAACACGTTTCTTCTTCTTCTTCCATAAACCCATTTCTTTTTCTTCCATCAACTTTTTTCTTCTTCCATCATAAACCTATTTTTTCTTCTTCCATTCGTTTGAGAGAAAAATAGTGAGAAAAACGAGAAAAGAAACATAAAACCATTCAACTAAAACATTATTCATTTGTTACGCCAAAGCTTATATAGACATGAGCAAGGCAACAATCCAAAAAATCCTCTAATTTCTTCTTCCTCTTTCCACTTTTCTCGGTTTTTTCAGCAACCATAAGAACACAAATCTTCCATCTTCATAGGATTTCTCTTCTCTCACCATTTTTAGAATTTTTTTAAGAATAGAGGTAGGAATGAAAAATCCTAAATTAAGTTTAGGGATTGAGATTTTTTAAAGGAGAAAATGTGATCGTTGAAGGCTTTTGGGTCTCCAACGTGGCGGTCAACCCAGTCCATGTAAGCAATTAATGCATCAACTGTGTTTTTTCATCATGCGTGTTAATGGCTGTTAACGTCAAGTGATCAGTTTGTAATCAATCGATAATGTTAGTGACCGATTTGTAACTTTTAAAACTTTAGTGAGAAAAATGAAAATTTACTTAAACATTAGTGATCAATTGTGTGTTTACCCTAAAAGTAAAGAAAAAACATTTTAGTTTACCCTAAAGCGAGCGTCGAAGCAAGTACGGAGACCCAAGACAACGTAGTAATTATAATAAAATAAGAATAAATTACATTTGTATCTATTTAATTATGTAAAATAATAATATCTAGTTTTATTAATAAAACTATTTAACTATTTAAATAACGTTAATCAATATAGCTATTTTTAACGTTTGATAAAAAGAACAATTAATAAAATTAATATAATTTTTTATTTAATCTTTGTTGTTTACCTATCCTATCAATTTAATCTTAATTTCATTTATTATTATTTAATTACAAAAAATAAATTGAAGACAGAGAGGTTTAAGGAGAATCAAACATGGGTCTTCGAGAGGGATTGATGTGCCTTTTATCACTTCACCGATTCTCGTATTTGGTGTATGGTTACAAAATATTTTATATATGTCACATATATATATGTCACACACACACATATATATATATAGTTAATGTTAGAAAAAAAAGAATAAAAGTGGCAAAGAAAATATTCGAATCTAGACCAATAATAAAAGCACGTTAATCCCCCCTTCAAGACTTAGGTTCAATTCTTTAATCATGGTGACGTATGAAAAATTAAATTTATTAAATCGAATTAAATTTAAAACTAAATTAATACAACATATAGATAATATGCGCAGCAGCTTTATCGTAGGCACGAGCCGCGCTTTCCATGATCTCAAATGTTCCTATCCATATTCTAGTTTTCCTACACAACCGGGGATAGAAAAGCTTATAATGTTGTTTTGAATTGTTATAAAAGGAAATCATTCAACATATCAGGAAAAAAAACATCATTTTGCTTAGGTAATTTTATTCTATGCGCGGTAATCAATGACGAATCTAGAAATACTGATAAGGAAACGGTGACGGATTAATGAACGTTGCTCTTGTTGAAGAATCAAACCTAGAAAGTTCTAGACTCGATGAAGAACAAAGGGAGATGAATTGTAGAAGATGACCCCTTTATGAAGGTGAACGGTAAAGATGATAATGGTGAGGATGAATTTGTGAAAATAGATGGATAAGTGTCCTATTGAACCCTCCAAGTCGCAATGAAAAGGCAAACTCGATAATATGACTCTAAATGTCCTATCGAACCCTCCTAGTCGCAATGAAAAGACAAACTCGATAATATGACTCTAACCAACCCTCCTCGTCGCGATAAAAAGGCAAATTGGAGTGTGAAGATTAACCTCCCTAAAAAAAATTGAAAGAACTACAGGAGAAGAAGCTTCGAAGGCACAAGGCAATCATCACTTGCAAAAACGAACTCTCGTTGTATTATTAATCAAAGAAATCTCCTTTACAAAGTTGAATGAAGCCTTCTTTATATAGGGGTTAACTCACTTGCAATAACAAACTAAATATGTCTTAACTCTACTCTAATTCCTAATAAAATAATAATAACTAAAAATATTGTTTTAACTCAACCTTAATTCCTAATAAAATAATAAATCTAATCCTAAAAGATAACACATCATCCTATATTAAATTATATTACAAATAATCAATATAAAATATTGAAAAATCGTAATATTTACAAAATCACGTATTAATCTCGTATAAGAATTTCTGCATGTGTTGTCTTCACTAAAATGAATGTATCTTAAGTTCCCGATATTGGATTGATGCGATTCAAGAACCGTTGGAAATATAAGAGACAGACGATTGTATCTCCAGAAGACATGTTGACCAAATAAGATCAGGATCCCATTCAAAAAGTCGTCGCAATTCTGTTTCTGTTATGGTCTTCTTTTCCAAGGCTTGGACAAGTGGATCATTTGGAAGAGTTATTACTTCTTCCTTTGGTGTGAGCCTTGTGATGCATGTATCACCCCCCTTCTTCATAAAGATTCGACCTCAAATCTGAAACATTAAAGGGAGCAACATTAGAATCGTTTAATGATTCATTCACATTATGCTTACCGAATAGATATGCTTTGAATCTTCGAGACTTTGTTCTTCTAATAGGTTCGAGTAGAAACATTAATCCAAAGAAGCATGTATTATGGAATCTGGTGCATGTATCAAATACGTTTTAGTGTAGGCACACATATGTTAATAATATAAAATTTTTAAATGGATAAACACAATTTTTTTAAGATGAACACCATTAATAAAATAAATAACTAATAAAAAAAATTGAATTTCAAGGTGGACTAACAAAGTTGTGGTTCCACCGCGGGCTGAAATCACAGTTAATGAGAAATTTGTTGTATCATGTCATGTGGGAGTTTGAGTATATTATTATTGCACATAATGCCAGAAAAGAAAAGCAGCTAAGCAAATTGTTGTGTAAAAGAAGGATTTTGAGCATCAACTTGCCAATGGAATGATTATTGGATACATTAGTAAAAGAAACCTTGGACCCCCTTGGGCCATAATTACCATTCAAAATCCACTATAGATCACTTTGCCCCCAAGACTGAGAATCACCTGATCTTTCAAGCATTACTCATAGGGTTTATTTTTAGTTTAATTTCTTCTATTCATTGTTGAGCAGTCTTGGCCAACTCCACTTGTTCCACTAATTTTCATATTAGTAATGTAATACAGCTCTGTGACACTAAACTAAACTTGTGAATTTCTCAACTAGCTAAACTAGTATGGTGTCAACTATACACTAGGACATAAACAGAGGGTCTCCAAAGCTTGGAAATAGCATGTTCGAAGGTTGAGGAGAACCGGTCGATGCCATTAGTCGAGCAGAAAGAAGAAAGGATGGTGCTTGACATCTTATGTATTAAACATTGCATAGTTCAATGGAGCCACAGTGAAGCAGCTCCTCGATCATTTGTTCAATGCGATTCCATTGTGGCTGGCAACATGTAGAGTTGGTGCCTTATATTGTGTCTTGTGTCCTGATTGTTGTTTGGAAATTTGAAGTGAAGCCATGTAACATTTGTGTAGTTTAGCAGTCAAAGTTGATGAAAGAAGCTTGGATGGAAGTTCACTTGGATTGTAAGGGAAGTTGGCTTTAGCCCTGTTCCACACATAAGCCTAGCAGCTTCATCGTACGCACGGGCCGCGTCTTCTGCGGTTTCGTATGTTCCAGCCAAATTCTAGTTTTCCTGCACAACCAAAACCGTCTCATTTCAATACTTGCAATTTCTAGTTCTATAGACTATCAATGAATCAGACAACGAAACCAACTTACAAGAGAGGATGGCGAATTCCAGACACCCAAGAACCCCATTGCCTTTGTCGAACACCTCGATATTGTTGTTGTGGTCTGGCCATATCAGTAATAACGTAACCTTTTTTTCTGGAAAAAAAGTGTTTGTGAAAATGCCTGAACGAGCAAATGTGGTATGATAGGTGATGGTAGGGAGAGAGGGATGGAAGAGTAGGGGCTTTATATATAGCCAGCATGAAAATTTGTAGGGTCCTATTTGTTCATCTTTTCATTGCAGTTGGCTAATTTGCCATGTGATATGATTGTTGAATCAAAAGGAGAAGGGAAATGTTTC